AAACCAGGACTAAACCAGGACTAAACCAGGACCTAAACCAGGACTAAACCAGGACTAAACCAGGACTAAACCAGGACTAAACCAGGACTAAACCAGGTCTAAAAGGAAAACCAGGTAAACCAGGTCTAAACCAGGACTAAACCAGGTCTAAACCAGGTCTAAAACCAGGAAACCAGGTCTAAACCAGGACTAAACCAGGTCTAAACCAGGACTAAACCAGGACTAAACCAGGACTAAACCAGGTCTAAACCAGGGACTAAACCAGGTCTAAACCAGGAACTAAACCAGGTCTAAACCAGGACTAAACCAGGACTAAACCAGGACTAAACCAGGACTAAACCAGGACTAAACCAGGTCTAAACCAGGACTAAACCAGGTCTAAACCAGGACTAAACCAGGTCTAAAACCAGGTCTAAACCAGGTCTAAACCAGGACTAAACCAGGTCTAAACCAGGACTAAACCAGGACTAAACCAGGACTAAACCAGGACTAAACCAGGACTAAACCAGGACTAAACCAGGTCTAAACCAGGTCTAAACCAGGACTAAACCAGGACTAAACCAGGACTAAACCAGGACTAAACCAGGACTAAAACCAGGAAAACTAAACCAGGACTAAACCAGGTCTAAAACCAGGACTAAACCAGGACTAAACCAGGTCTAAACCAGGTCTAAACCAGGACTAAACCAGGTCTAAAAGGACCAGGTCTAAACCAGGTCTAAACCAGGACTAAACCAGGACTAAACCAGGACTAAACCAGGACTAAACCAGGTCTAAACAGGTCTAAACCAGGAGCAGGAGACTAAACCAGGAGCGGACTCCTATCTGTCTAAGTGGGTCTGTGTTTGTCAGGATCAGCGTTTCTGAAGCGGCTGTAAAAACAGAAAAGTGGTAAAAATCGAGCCTCGAAACGTCAATGAGGAAATTTAGAATCAACGAAAGAAGAAAAGAAACAGAGAGAGAGAAAGAGAGAAAAGAGAGAGAGAGAGAGAGAGAGAGAGAGAGAGAAGGAGGAAGAAGGAGAGAGAGAGGAAGAGAGGGAGGAGAGAAGGAAAGGGAGGAGGAGAGGAGAGAGGAAGTACTGAGGGAGGAGGACGACGCTGCAGAAAAGTCGTCAACAAAGAGTTTAAAGTCATGAATGACAATAAACCTGGACTGAACCCGGACTGAACCTGGACTGAACCAGGACTGAACCTGGACTGAACAGGAAACCAGGGACTGAACCAGACTGAACTGGACTGAACCAGGGACTAAAATAAAAACAGACTAAAACAGGACTGAACCCGGTCTGAACCTGGACTGAAACGCAGGACTGAACCAGGACTGAACCAGAGAACCAGGACTGAACCAGGACTGAACGGACTAAAACAAGGACTGAAACCAGGACTGAACCAGGACTGAACCTGACCTGACTGGAACCAGGACTGAACCAGGACTGAAACCAGGACTAAACAAGGACTGAACCAGGACGAACCAGGAAAAAACAGGAAAACAGGACTGAACCAGGACTGAACCAGGACTAAAACAGGACTGAACCCAGGACTAAACAGGACTGCACCAGGACTGAACTGAACCAGGACCGGACTGAACCAGGACTGAACCAGCACTAACAGGATGAACCAGGACTGAACCGTCTGAACCCAGACTAAAGAGGTCTAAAAAGGTCTAAACTGGTCCGACTGGTGGTTAAAACCAGGTCTAAAACGGGATGGACAGGTTCCTAAAATGGGGTCAGAAAATAACAACTAAAAGACGCAGGTCTTGGACCGGTTTTGAACAGGCCTAAACCGGGCCTGGACTGGGTCTATTTCAGGTCTAAACCAGGTCTGACAAGATAAAATCGAACCGGTCTGAAAAAATTAAATGGCGTATGAACATGATTGGACCAGGTCTGAACCAGGTCTAAACTGGGTCTAAACCAGGACTGGACTGGGGCTGAACTAAGTCTAAACCAGGTCTAAACCAGTCTAAAACGCGGACTAAAAGGTCAACAGTCTAAATGGTCTAAACCAGCTAAACCTCTAAACCAGGTCTAAACCAGGTCTAAACCAGGACTAAACCAGGACTAAACCAGGACTAAAACCAGGACTAAACCAGGACTAAAACCAGGTCTAAACCAGGACTAAACCAGGTCTAAACCAGGTCTAAAACCAGACTAAACCAGGTCTAAACCAGGACTAAACCAGGACTAAACCAGGACAACCAGGTCTAAACCAGGACTAAAACCAGGTCTAAACCAGGACTAAACCAGGACTCTAAACCAGGTCGACTAAACCAGGTCTAAACCAGGACTAAACCAGGACTAAACCAGGTAAACCAGGATCTAAACCAGGTCTAAACCAGGACTAAACCAGGACTAAACCAGGTCTAAACTAAACCAGGTCTAAAACCAGGTCTAAACCAGGTAAACTAAACCAGGACCAGGTCTAAAACTAAACCAGGTCTAAACCAGGTCCAGGTAAACCAGGACTAAACCAGGACTAAACCAGGACTAAACCAGGTCTAAACCAGGTCTAAACCAGGACTAAACCAGGTCTAAACCAGGATAAAACCAGGACTAAACCAGGACTAAACCAGGTCTAAAACCAGGTCTAAACCAGGACTAAAACCAGGTCTAAACCAGGAAAACCAGCGTCTAAACCAGGTCTAAACCAGGACTAAACCAGGTCTAAACCAGGACTAAACCAGGTCTAAACCAGGTCTAAACCAGGTCTAGTCCAGACGGTTCAGTTTGTTCTTTAAATTTCTTAGAGAAACATTTTGTTGCTTTGAGTTCGTTCAGTCTGAAAATAAAACGTTAAAAAAACTAAACAGAGTCGAACCCCCAACCTCCTGACGAGGGGGAGGGGCTAAACACTCTGCCACAGGAGCCACGTGTTTAATGAGCCGCAGATTATTCACAAATAAATAAATAAATAAAGAAATAAATAAACAAACAAAATGATTCTAATTAAAAAGAGCTGGACGTTTGGTTTTAGTGCTGCTTCCTCTTCCATCTCTTCATCCCTCTCTTCCTCTTCTCCCTCTTCTCCTCTTCTATCTCTCCTCTCCTCTTCTCTCCTCTTCTTATCTCTCCTCTCTTCTATCCTCTTCTCCTCTCTCTCTCTCTCTCTCTCCTCTCCTCTCTCTCTCTCCACTTCTCTTTCTTGTATCTTCTCTCTCTCTCCTCTCTCTTCTCCCTCCTCTCTCTCCTCTCTCTCTCTTTGTTGGTGATGTATGGCTGTAGATCTCTCTTCCCTCCCCTTCCTCTCTCTTCCTCTCTCCTTCCTTCTCTACTCCTTCTCTTCTCTCCTCTTTCTCTCCTCCCTCTCTCCCCTCTCTCTTCTCCTCTCCTCTCCCCTCCTCCCCTCTCTCTCTCCTCCCTTCCTCCTCCCTCACTCTTCTCTTCCTCCTCTCCTCTTCTATCTCTTCTCCTCTCTCTCTCTCGTCCCTCTCTTCTCTCTCTCTCTTCTCTTCTATCTCTCCTTCCCTCCTCTTCTCTTCTATCTCTCCTCTCTCTCTCCTCTTCTATCTCTCTCTCCTCTCTCTCTCCATCTCTTCTCTACTCTTCCCTCCCTCCTCATCTCTTGTTCCTCTTCTCCTCTCTTCTCTCTCTCTCTATCTCTCCTCTCCTCTTCTCTTCTCTCTCTCCTCTCTCTCTCCATCTCTTCTCTCCTCTTCTCTCTCTCTCTCTTTTCT